ATCCATTTGATCTAATACTTCTATTGGGTAGCAATTAACAAATTTAATTATTTCAAATAATAATTCAATTGGAATTTGTTTACGTTGTTTTAATATTAGTTTCATTTTTTAAATTTTTTAATTGAAATTTTCAAACAAAAAATGTGAATCTAAAATTTTAAGAATTTTATAGAAATATTTTATAAAAAAAATATAGAAATACAGAAAAATAAGGCTCTATCTTAGGACATGCGTCCCATGAGCTTTTATCGTTCCAATCAAATACATCACAAAAGTATTTATTATAATTTTTAAATAATAGTAGATTTTCGCTATATCAACCAATTATATTTCAAATCCAAATATTTGAAAAGTTGGATTTTAAACAGGAGAAATACAGGAAAACGCTCAAAAATACTGGACATTAGTTCGAATACTCCGATCCGGGTAACTGTTGCCGTTTAAATAATTTATTTAGGTGACATTGGAAAGAAAAACTAAACTTTTCTTTGTTAATACCTCTCATTGAGACATACCACAAAGAAAAATGCTTAATATTTATTTTCTCCGTTTTTAATTATATTTATGTTATCTATGAGGGCATTTTTCCATATACAACTTAAAAAACACAACTAATAAAATTTTCTTAGGCAAAGAATTTTTTATACTGGGTCAACTCAAAAGACTTAGTACCCCTAAAAGACCTAACCCACTTTTATCAAATCCATTTCTTACTTCTTATTTTCTATGTTTAATCGGCTGGAGGGATTAAAATGAATTTGCATCTTTATCCATGTTAAGGAAGGCAGGCCGGAATTTCAAGACTGAAAATCGGGAAAAAGGAATAGGTTTGTTACGGAATGAAAATTACTGAATAAGTGGAAAATGCCATAGAAAAAAATCGACAATTTTATTTTTTCCAAATTCGAATTTGACTAAAGTTGAAATTTGACAGTGACATATATTACTATAATTCTCAATTTTAAATTATAAAGTGTTGATTTTTATAGAATTTTTTTAAATTTATAATATACCGAGTAATTCAAAGAAAATCAGAAAAAAATTGTTAAAATATTTATTTCAACAGTAAATCACAAGAAATAAAGCATATAGGAAAGCATAATTTAAGAAAAAAATAGGTATGTAAATAATTATTTGCGAGTCTCTTAGAAAATCCATAAATATTTTTTAAATACAGAAAATTATTTTGAAAAACCCGAAAAAATTTTTATGGTTACAGAATATATGTATTACAAATTATATAAACCATCTTACAAAATTAACTGCTACATTAGATAGAGTAAGAAACATTCCAAACGCGTAAGCTCTAACGGTTATGCTAATTTTATCAGTCATTGCTCCAATTTAAAAAATTAATAAACAGAAGATAGCTGTCGATGAAATTAATAAAACAACAAAAAATATTGCCAAAAAGAACATAATCACCATAAAAAAATAAAAGGTGACATAACAATAATAAACGTTGATGAAATTGTCAAAATACTTAAATAAAATGCGGCAATTATCAAACCAAATACTAAAAATGTGTAAATTAAAAAATTTTTCTTAACCGTTAAATAACAAACGGCGGACAAATTATAACCCTCCGGATTCCCAAATTTTCCAAAACTTTTTTTTCCTCCCTTTATTCATTATTTTAATTTCTTTTGGGGAAATTTCTATAAGAGAATCCCTTTGCAATTCTATAACATAAAAAACCACAAAAGTCACTTTTGTTAATGAAAATGCCCTGTATATACCTTAATGGAAGCCTATAAGACCCTTGTCGTTCTCGATTATACGAACACCCTTTGATTAGAAGTGATTAAAAATTGAAGGTATCACTTCCATCTCTTTGTATACATCTCACCTTCCCAGTGGCCAATTAAAAAAATTTTACGTATAATAGAGTGTACGTAAATTAGGGTTATATACAACCGAGATCCGACTATTCTTATATAAAAAATTATGAGTAAAGACCTAATTTCTTTAAGCCAACTAAGAATTTTTTAATTAAGCCAATTATAAAATAACACAAAGACCATAGAGGATAAATTGTTGTGGCAGCGAGAGCATTGGCATTTTCCATTAAAATTCTCTAAAAATATTTAAACTAAATTATTATTTGGAACCCAAAAGGTACTCGACTGATCTGATTAAAAAATTCAGAAAACAAATATCATTTTGACTCAATAAAGGCAAATTCAATCACCACAGGTGATTGAATAATATTTTGAGTACTTGCTAGGTCATTGTTTTGTCAGAGGTTATCCTATCTCCCTCCATTTTTCATTATTTTAAACAAACCTGTCTCATCAATAAAGCATGGCCACAACGTATATAGAAAATAGACCACGCTCCGCAAATTCTCTTAAAAATCGAACGTTTTTTGTCAATTTCCATTTGATCCAATACTTCTATTGGATATAGATTAATAAATGGAATTATACCGAATATCAATTCCAACGGAAGTTGATTATTGCGAATATTAGGTCTTATCATTTTTAAATTCTGATAAAAATAATTTTTGAATTAGTAATTATATTTCAGATTTTTATATTTAAGTAACTCTCCCCTCACAAACTAACTAACCACATTAAAAAATGGGCATTAAAGCTTAGATTGTATATTATAAATATGAATGACCCCTTTTTTTAAATAAATAACATTTTTAAATAATTTTTTTTATTATTTTTCTCAAGCAGATAATTTTTTAATCTTTGTCTCTACATATTTATTTGCCTTTAAAAACTTTTTAAAAATTTTTTAAAGTTGAGGCTATATTACACCATTTGGTTTTTTCAAAGGCAAAATAAGCAAAAAACGGTATAGCAGATTGAACTAGCGATGTATAATACATACAGTCGTGGAAAAAAGTATGGAAGCGCAATAAAAAGTTTTTTAAATTCTTAATTTTTTATTCAAAAAATACGTTCTATATACCAATCGAAAGCTCTATTCGTATCTCAGTTGACATGTTTTTGCATTTTTCATGAAAATGAAAATTGGCCGAGATAATCCGGATCTACCGGATATACCAAATTCCATTTTTTCGGAAAAATTTTTCGGAACAAATTTAACAAACCCATTTGATAAAGCATATTTTTCTGAGTATTTTCCACAAAACCGCTTAGAAATATCTTTTTCCGGAGCAGAGATATGATTTTTTGAAAATGGCATTTTTCGTCTATTTTTGCAAAAAATTCAATTTTTAAGGGAAAAATGCGATTTTCAAAAAATCATATCTCTGCTTCGGAAAAAGATATTTCTAAGCGGTTTTGTGGAAAATACTCAGAAAAATATGCTCTATCATTTGGGTTTGTTAAATTTGTTCCGAAAAATTTTTCCGAAAAAATGGAATTTGGTATATCCGGTAGATCCGGATTATCTCGGCCAATTTTCATTTTCATGAAAAATGCAAAAACATGTCAACTGAGATACGAATAGAGCTTTCGATTGGTATATAGAACGTATTTTTTGAATAAAAAATTAAGAATTTAAAAAACTTTTTATAGCGCTTCCATACTTTTTTCCACGACTGTACATACTTCAAGAGGGCCGATTTTGTTGATTTATTGTGAAGAGAATAAAAGGAATTAACAGAAAATAATTTTTAATTAAAATCATTTCTTGTTCAAATTTTGTATGTTTTCAATCAGTTATTTGTGCATAATCCCAGAAAAAGTTTTCAGTAGTTGAATGGCACTTTAAAATTTAAAGTTATAATCTCCCAAAAGATAATACTTCAAAATCTTCGGATATCTGAATCTAGAACTGATATCGAATCGGAACTTTAGAATATTCGGACTTTATTCTAATCCGGATTCAAACCCTTAGTCGACTGCAAACTAGCATCTCGCCATATTTGATTTGATAATATAGCTAATATAGATAATATAGCAATATAGATAATATAGCAAAAATTCTTGCTTCTTGACTCTGCCATAGATTTTCAGTTCCAAGATCAACTACACCAAAGCTTACGACATATGTATTTATGATTCAGAATTCCTCAATAATGCAAAACTAATTTAATTCTTTGAGTTGATCGAATGCAAAACTTCAATATATTTTATAAATATCTTAATAGAAGCTCTGGATGGGAACTTTTTCATATCCAAAAATAGCAAAAAGAAATATCCTATTCTACTTATAATAATTATAAAATAATTTCCTTTCACCAAAACAAACAAAAGGATTTACCTTTTCCAATTAAAAAATTTTTTTTATAAAATATTGGGAATGTAAATTTTCTACATAAATTCAAATTTTTATTTCAAAAAAAAAATTAAAAAATATTTTGAATTAATAATTTTATTTTTTAAATTGAGCAATAAATAATTAATTAAAAATCATTTTTAAAAGAAAATTACTAACAGAAATAAATATACAATTGACTTTAAAAACCGGATCGAGATGAGATCTCGAACGAAAATCTCGATTATCGAGATAAAATTTTTTCGAGATATCTCGTATGACACTCTTAGTCCGGTCTCTAATTGACTCTCACTATAAGATTACACTCAATACTTGATATGCCTTAATTTAAGATTCGTTTTTTCCAAATTTAGTTAGCCAATAGGTGAAAGGGAAAACTATTTAAACGATAACCCCCTCCTCTTTAAAATCCACCTCATTATATAAGAACTAAGGCATGTGCTATATTGAGGTTCGATTGTGACAAAAGATTTAAAAATAATTTGTACTTTAATTTAATAGAAAAAAGATTAAAATATAAATTAAATAAATACATGAATAGGTATAATTAAAAAATAATTATTTTAAATTTATTATTTCAGAATAGACAAAGCTTCAGAATAAATGTGAAGACATACATATATAATTCTGAAAATTTCAGAATATCAAAAATAATTATTATCAGAATATTTATTTTTCCCACAAAAATCAGAATTTAACTTTTTTAGTATTTGCATATTCTGATTTATCAGAACACCTTCTATGTTGACTATTTAAAACTTTTTCTGAAGAAATTCTGGCCGAGACAGTCCTTTTTTGTTCTTTTATGATTTTAATTTTTCGTCCAAATTTGTTACTGTGTCGAAACTGTCAGGGGTTGATTCTGAGGAGATTATTATTGAATTTGTTGTTGTGGATAATTTAACTGTTGTGGTTGGACTAAATAATTCTGAAGTAGTTATCCCTATACGGTGAAGGTGTAATAAAGTAAATAATTGGTGCCGAATCTTTAAATAAAATAAAAAAATATTTATTTAGGTAAAGCAGCTGAATCTATCCCAGAAAATAGCAAAAAATTTGAAGGGAGAGTTTGTTATGTCCGAGTTATGTCCGAGGGTTACACGATGTCGAAATGAATAACCGTTTATCCAAAGAAAGTACAAGGGAGGTGAAGGTGGGGGTTCCTGAAGTAGATCGTGGATTAGCCGGGCTAGTACGATCTCCTTAGAATGAGACTGACTTTGTTCTACAAAATAGTCTCTGTAAGACTTGATTCAATACAAGACTGTTAATCCTCCTATCACTATCGATAGGATTGATTTTAGTTCTATTTCCTAAATTGGGAGGAATCTTTAGCCCCCCTTCTATTTATTTATTAACCTCTTTGTCCATAAAAAATCCCAAAAAAGAATCAACAATAATTCTTAAAAGAACAATAGATCTAATAATTCCCAACAAAGACTGCATTTTATTATAATGTAAAACAAAATAACATCCATCGGCAAATGTTAAAGCAACATTCCAAATTGCATAGGGAAAATGAAAAATTGTAAATGTTGTTACACCCAATGTTAACTAGGGAAGGAGAGAATTAATTTAAATGTTTTCAAGTTTTAATTAAAAATCAGAATAAATAAACAAAGAAATTCTGATATTTTCTTTACCTTAATCATTGGAAATTTAAACCGTTTCCGAACACTTCTTTGTTGTCTACTTGTGTTGTCTGCATTTAAAGTTTTTGCCCTTTCCTTGGCTTTTTTTATTAAAAAAACTTTTTAAAAAATAAATTTAATTTTATTTTTAAATTAATTAAAAATTACCCGAAATAATAAAAGTTAAAATTGTAGTAAAATATAATAAAAGGGTTAAAACATTCCTAACTTTATACATGTAAGTTAAACAATTCTCTACCTAAAAATTGATATTTTTGTTAAGATTAGAGAAATTTAGAAATACTTTGCAGCCAGTTAATTCAGCAAGTATTTCTATTTTTACAAGTATTGTAAATCCCATTGTTGCTCCAAAAATTAAAATAAAAACTAGCCAACTTTAATTTAAAATAAATGTTTATAAATAGATAGAGTAGCGCCCCGACCGACAACGAATTTTTAGGCAAAAACCCCGACCCAAACTCCGAAGGCTTTACACCGGCAAACCCCGATCCCCAAAGGTCCCGCCCCGAAAGCTCAGGGTGCTACTCTAGTTTGAAGCTTGGAATTTATAGAATTTTTGATTAAATTTCATTTTAATTTTAAATTTTATTTGTCATTATTTTCCTTCTTTAATTTTTTTTTAATTTTTAAAATCTATTTTAATTTAATTTTAAAATCAAAACAATAATTTTAAAGTTAGTAATCCCCCACCTGATTTTGATTAGAGAAACACATCTAAAATAGAAATAATTTAATCTTTTTTTACACAATTAACTAAATTAATTACGTAAAAATAAATTAAATTTTGGTCATTGCAACAAATTTTTTGTGGGAGGAGGGAGAGGGGGGTAGTGATGTTCGAGACTCTCGGTCTCGACTCTCGAGTCGAGAAATTTCTCGGGTTTTTTGAGCTCTCGGTCTCGGTCTCGGTGTTTTGGTCTCGGAAAACGAGACTAAATTTACACCCCTAATGACGGAAATTTTTTGAACTTTACTCGGACCTTGCGTACTTTGATATTAAAATTTTTAAGGAAAAGTCTCCAAAATTCCCAAAATTTTGCCTGCGGCGCTGAAAAATGGAAGAAATCTGGCTTCTTGAGCTCCAAAATTCTCAAAATTTTCGCCTGCGGCGCTGAAAAATGGAGGGATTTTTGGGGATTAGGTTTTATATTTATATATTTATATCAAGGGATTTTTGAGGATTAGGAGGGACATCAAGTGATATCCCTCTTAATCTCTCGGTCTCGACTCTCGGTCTCGACTCTCGACTCTCGTTTTGGTCTCGGTCTCGGGGTTGATTCTCGGTCTCGGTCTCGACTCTCGGGATTTTTTGACTCTCGAACATCACTAGAGGGGGGGGGGGTTATTCGATAAAAGAAAAAGTTTTTGATCGTCGATTTAATATTCGACTTTCAAAATTAATTTCCAGATTTTAAAAAATTTAATTTTTGGAATGTAAATTTCAGAGCTCGGACAATAACACCTGTTCGTATTTGTCTTTCTTATGCTTATATGGTTATCAAACAGGTTTTTTTGTCCTAACTCTAGTAAATCTTTTAAATTAATTTCCAATTATTTAATTCTCCCTACCTTTCCATAGTTACTTTTTTCTTGTATTTAAGAGGTTCTGCAATTCCATATAATTTCAATAAACCAATAGATGTATATGTAACTAATCCAGACCAAAAACAAGCAGTAAATAAAGTATTTAATAATGTTAGCCAAGAAGGACTTTTAAATTAAATAAAAATTTGTTTGAAATTTTATTTAAGAGAGAAGGAGAGAGAGATTTTTTCCCGTCTCTCAATTCAACTTTATTAAAAAGAATTAATTTATCCATTAAATAAACTGAGCCAAGATAAAAAGGTTCAAAATGGTCAACATAAACCTATGGGGCGTCGGCGAGGCGCTTGTGCGAAACCCCGCGCTTCGCGCGGGGTTTCGCGGCACGCGCCTCGCGGGGAGTCAACGGTCGCTGGGTCTGGGTCAGTAACATAAACCTATTCCTATCTCCCTTGATCTGGGCGTACTTGGGGCCTCTGTAGCAGCAAAAACCTCAACAATGACCATAGGTAAGGAGCTAAAACAAACGATCATAACTTTGTCAAATCAAGTCGGATTTCGGTTATTTTGGTGTCATTCGACTCAGCTCGACGAGCTGAGTCGAATGAGCTATTATTTGCATTTTCGAATTTTTCACCCCAAAATTAGCTTACTCCCCCCTTCTCTTTTTCGAACTTCAGGGGTCTGTATCTCGGTCCCTGATTGTCGGATCGACTTCTCTCTGCCCGCGATTGACTCAGCTCGGCGAGCTCTTTCGAATGACACCTCATTTGTCCAAATCGGTCCAGCCAAAAAAAACCCCCTATAAGTCACAATACCCAATGCCTGGATCTGGACTCTGGATCCAGGAAAAATCAGACTGAATCCAGATCCAGACCAATCTCTAGCTCAGAGTTAGAATCCCTTCTCACTTCTTAAATATAAGTTTTTTCTCTTTAATTGGAATGGATATTTCTTAAAATTTCCCAAAATCTTTTCAAATATTTACATACTTTATATGTTCAACAGCCAAAACATAAATAATCGAAATAAGAGAACAAATAATTGCCGACAAATCCCCAATTGCTCTATTCACCAAAAGAACATGAAATTTTCTGCTGACTCTGTGGGCTTTAATTGCACGAATGTTGGCAGTTATAAAAAGCAAAGTTAAAGGTATAGCAATAATTGTAAATGGAAGAGTCATCCATCCATGATAAAAACGAATTGTTCGATCCCTGATGTTCTATGCAATTCTTATTTTTAGAAAAATGTGTGAATAAACAAGAAAATAAAAAGAGGATTTGGGGTTGCTCATCAACGATGAATTGGGAAGTTTTTATTGTAAACGGATATTCGAGTTCCACTTATACATAGGTATCAGGGGTGTGTCGAAACAGATTTTAAAAAGTGAAACGCGAAAGTCCAAAAAACGCGAAAATCCGCGAAAAGCGAAACGCGAAAACTGGCACACCCCTGACATTTATTTGTGTCTCTGTTCGTTTATTAGAGGGGGATTGTTTAATAGGAAGTCGAGAAAATATTGTTTTTGAGTAACTAAACTCAGAGAGCAACCCCCTACTAATTATTTAATTTCTCTTACAATTTCTCTTTTATCAGACCATGCTTTGCTGATATTTAGACAATTAGTTTGATAGGAGGACATTTTAATAAATTAATTTATAAATCTGTGAAATTGAAGAATATAATTTTGATTGAAAGAAAGAGGGGTAATGTTCCAGATACGAGCAAAATTTTAGTACTTATTAATGTAGCTTGGATGCATAAACATTCATTGGACGTATCAAAATTTGTTTGGACGCGTAATCTGGACAAGAGCCAAAATAACTACATATTACATATTTGTAATCGAAATTGTTAACGTGGATTCTTTTTTTATTATTTTTCTCTAAAAATTCTGTTCTCCCCTTGCGTTAACGCATCTTAAATTTTATTTCCTTAATTTCAATGTTATGCTTATAATTTATTCTATTTCCCACCCAAACGCAACTTTAATTTAAAAAAATAAAAATAAAAAACCACAATTTCGAAAGAAAAAAGGTAAATAAAAATACACAAAAGTTGGGGAAAAATGGCCGAGAAAATAAAATATAAAATAGAACCGGTCTCCGAAATTGGTTATTCTTAATAAATAAATAAAATTAAAAAAAAGTTTTGATCAACTTGGAAAGGACTGAGTCCCTTAAAGACGCGTAGGTGGTATTGCGCAGCAATATTTAAACTTACTCCCTAACAGTTAGGCGCCGTAATGTTCTTAGAATTTATTGAAGGGAGAGAAAAGAGCGCAACACTAAATACTAACTACCTCCTACTTTTATTTATTTTTCTCCCAAAAATTCTTCAAGAATTAAATTTTAGAGAAATTTTTGTGTGTAAAAAATAATTATCTACTCCTTTTACATGGAACGAAAAAACCCCAAGAAATTAATTAAAAGAAGAGGGTGTTTTATTGACCTTGGGGGAAACAAATAAACAAGTTTAAACTTAACTAATAAAGATTAAAAATTATTTTTTTGTAAATATTTTTACTACAAGATTTATAGTGTTTTAAGTTTATTTATGTGGACCTAAAATTATTTTGTAGTACATATCTCAGAAACAATTAAAAATATAAATACATTATTTTATCTACAATTATTTACACATAATAAATACAATAAAAAACTATACAATTATATATAGAAGAATCAAAATATTTAGAATCAGATTCTGTTGCTCAACACATTTATTTATAATATTTATACATAGTCCATTACAGAATTACCAAGGCAACCCCAAATACGACTTGAGATACTTCTCGCTAACATCGAAGAAAACATCGCTCAAGTACAACGAATCAGCACGCAAACTCTAAATAAAAAATTATTATTTTAAGTTTAATTTGTCGATAGTATTTTTTCCTCTCCCAACTCACAATATTAAATTTTGACTTAAATTGGGAAAATGCCCATCTTTTCTTCATATCAAAGTTTTCGGAGAAAAAACGTGTAGTATGTTTATATCTATGAGCTATAGCTAAATTTATTTGTTTCCTCCCCCTCCCCCCTTTTTGAAGTCAATTCCCGTTTCTTAATTTCCAAGATTCCAAAATCCCCAAAGTTTTCCTCAAAACTCACCCCAATTTTATTGTCTCCCTCATCCTCGCTAACATTATTCGGATCCAAATTCTCGCTAATTTTCAAAGCAATATCCAAAACATTGTCGATTTCCGCAATAAGTGTAGCTTCAATCACAAGTCGATGTCCAAAAAGAATTTTTCTATCCTAAAAAGAAAATAAAAATTGGCAAAAAATAGGACAAATTCCTTGCCTCATTATCATCTTTAATTTCCAGCCCCACAGTTGTTTTGTTAACCAAATCAACGAGCGGTTCAATATAGTCATAGGCTTCTCTGCCCTTGCAACGAGGAGTGAGAGAATCCATTACAGATTGCGCCTGGAAAATAAAAAAATTTTGAGAAAAATTTATCAATTCAGACATGCGCAATCTTTTTGTCGATTCTATCCCAATGCATAGCAAAAGCCTAAAAATAAATTGGAAATTTAAAAAAAAATATTTAGGAAAATCCAATTGACCAACACTTTTGAGAGTATCAATAAAACTCAATCTGTTCCCTACCAGTGGTTGGAAGCTCGAACCAAAATTCGTACTCGTACCTGTGTACGAAGTACGAGAATGAGCAAATTTCAAAATTCCAACCACTGTTCCCTACTTCCTTTCCATTTTTGTGTTGTCAATTGAATTACTTAAAGTCAAAATATCCCCACACCTCATAGACAACTGTAGCATATTCATCAGGAAGTTCTTTGAGATTCTTGAAAAACGACAACGGCTCACTCTGAAGCTTTGCAACCAATTCCTCCTTTGGAAGATTTATCATATCCTTCACTCGAGAAATTGACTCATTGGGCAACGGACTGGCCATGTTATTTACCTAAATTAATTTTTGGTTTAAATTTAAAAAATTTAACAAAACACCTTTGATAGATGGAGAATATGAGAGAGATTACAGAACCGCTCAACACAAATGACGATGATGATTAAATTTAATTTAAAAATTGAATACATGCTTTTATAGTAATTGAATTTAAGTGTAGTTAAAATACGAAACAAGAATAATGGCCAAACTAATTTTTGAGGTTGTTATCCACACAACCATATTATTGGTGGTTTTCAATTTTTGATTTATTTACCTAACAGAGATAACTCCAACACACAATCGGAGGCAGAATTTCTGACATGAGTTAAAACGCGCAACTAAATTCTCTAATTTTATTCTCGACACCTAATCCTTTATTTAAAAAATTTTCTGATGATTCCCGAATATTTAAATTAACATATACATAAATTAACTTTTCAATGTACTATCCAAAAAATTCTCTCTTATTTATACCCAAAATCAAGCCAAAAAATATATGAAGTCATTAAAATTTTATATCGAGAATAAAGGAAAAAAATGTGAAGAAGGTATACATATTTAAATAAATATAAAAAATATTTTTTTGAGGAAAAAGATAAAACATAAAGAGGAGAATTAATAAAATAATCCTTTTTTGGTTCATTCTTTAATTTTATTCTCTACCAGTAATTAACGACCTTTGGGCACATTAGGTTCGGAGTTTGTTGGAGAATTTGACAAAGGAGAGAAACTATCCGAAAAGCGATACGGCACCGAATTTGTAGCCAAAATACGTCGATATTCGGGAATCATCTAAAAGGAAATAAATTTAGTCCAAAACAAAAAATAGTAAAAATATTTTTATTTTTGATTGATCTTAGGTGAGTTAATAGATGAGTTAATATTCAAAAAAATTTTTTGTCAGATCCCTATAATGGTTTTTGAACCCCAAAATGAAAACATTTGAACCCATCTTTTCAACTACAATTTTCCTACCAGTAAACAAAGGAATGAAACTAAAAAACAAAAAGAAAGAAAATTCCCCCAATTTAAAAACAAGCCTAAAAAGAAGCTGATCTACCGCTGCCGCGATGTTTTCCCACAATATTCTGTTGCTGTCAAGTTGTCCAGGTTGTGGCTGCCTATTTTGATTTAAATTTTGAGAAGACGAGCCAGAACTTGTTTGAGGTAAATTGTGACCAAGTAATGACAATAAGCAAGTGTTTAAATTAGGTACACTTTCATTAGAGACTTTCCCACCATTTTGTTTTTGCTGTTGTCGACGCATTTCAATTGTTCCCTCAATCAGAATTTCACTTGCAGGAACGATTATGACTAGTTAAGAAAATTAATTAGTACAATAATTAATGTAATTTTAAAATTTAATTATACACTAAAAAATTAATTTAGGGAGTAAAAAAATATTAAAATTAAGGAAATGTTTTTTAATATCAACATTTTGTTCCTCGAGTGTTGGTTTTGTCTAAAAAATTTTTTGAATTTATCCAAAATATTACACAGATTCGAAAACTAATTCCTACCCTGACTTTCTTTTAAACTTTCGAGCTCTGTGCACTAATCACAAAGTTTTACATCTAACCCAAAAGATAATTCAAAAATAAAATTTAAAAAATTACATTGATTTGCATTAAAAGTCGTAGAACGATAAATAGCCAAAATATTTTCAAGAGACCTCTTATCACTCAAAACAATAAAAACAACATAATAATCCTGAACAGTGGATATTTGAGAAATATCTTTAATTGATTTTTCGGGCAAATTAAAAGATTTGAGAATCCATTCAGAAAAATAATTTTGTGAAGCTGTAGATGATGTTTTGTTGCGAAAGACGACGATAGCTAAAATTATGGGAAAAGTAAGTTAAAAGTTTTTGCCAAAAAATACGAGAACGGCCAGGATATTTTTATTTAAAATATAATTTTGAACATATTTTATTCTGAATTAATAGTTCAAATCAGAGTTGTGTCAAAAAAGTTTAATAAAGACGAGGTTTTATTCTAAATTTTTAATAAGACCCTTTTAGCCAAATAACCCCTTCATAGTTATATACAAGTAAACTTTTTCACATACAAATAAAGTCGCAATCAATGGAGAATTTTTTGCAGATTTTTCTTTCTAATTCGTCTAGTTTGGAAATAAAGGAAAGACCGGGGAAAATCCGAAAAACCTCAAGAATCAGACCCCCTTCATACTTTACAAGTACCTGAATAGCTAAAATAATTATTTTTAAAAATTACTTCGATTTGCCAATTCAATCATTCCAGCAATACAAACGCTTGAAGAAGCTTGATTTCCAGAATTAGCAGAAGGGTGTGCAAAGTTTCTCCCAGCATTTTGTCCTGAATGTTTTTAAAGGTTCGAAGAGGGGAAAATAAATTTAAAAAAACCTGTAAAAGAAAAATTAACATGAGATCCTTGAGAAGTTGAAGTCGATTGTTTATCTGCAACCTTTATTCCATTTTTAGCCAATAATTGATCAAGTGTCATACTAGTTTCTCCAGTCGAGGAATTTGGATTATTCATTTTTTTATCTTTTAGAATTAAATAAAGCTTGTAATATAGACTGAAAAAAAATAATTTATAAAATCGTTTCTAAAATAAAAGTTAGTAAACAAAAAAGGGAACTAATGAAATGACTGGACTAGAAATAAAGCTAGCTGCGGACAAGGGACAGATGTTTTCCATACCATGACATTGTTTAAGCTTCGTTAAAAATTAATCCAGGTCCAAATTCAGTCAATTTCAATCTTATCCCATCAAGATTTTTTTCCAAAGATTTAGTAAATTATTAACAAAAGAAAATAAATATATTTCGAAATCGACAATTCAAAATATTTTCGTCTTGTCGACATTTTGATATTAACATATTTAAAATGATGTCAAAATGGTAATTTTTAATTTGGGTAAATACCAAAATGTTGTTTTTGGAAAAATTTTAAATCTGAATTAAAAGAATGAGCTTTAAATTTGCTTGAGTTTATTTTTATTCTTTTATATTGATTCATTTTTGTAATTTACGTATTTTTTTAACAAAATATATACAGTGGTGGAAAAAAGTATGGAAGCAAGAGCTTAAAAAGTAAACTTCGTTAAATTCCTCGACGTACGAACCCTAAATCATTTTTTGTCTACTATAAATTTTAAAGTCCTATCGATTACCTCTAAAATGAGTATAAATAGAAACCACTTTTATCGAGTATTTATCTTTTTATAATTGGCTAAAGTAAACAATGTAAATTTTGCGCGGAAAAAAGTATGGAAGCAAAAAAATTTTACGTTCTAAAACAAGTCGAAAAAATTTTAAAAATTTTTTATAAACATTTCCATTGATATTGAATGGAATTATAGAAAAAAAGAAGTCTGTACTTGCTTTCTTCATCGAGATCTCAAATCTCAAAAATCACTGGGAAATCGGGGTACAGTACTTTAAAAATTATTTTAGCTCCCTGAGACTTGTATAAAAAATTTCTTTTAGACCTATCTGAAAGCCCTTAAAATCTGCTACAAAATATGGTTGGTTTCATATTTGTACAAAAATTTGTCTAGGAGATAAGGAGGGACGAAATACTTAAAACTTAAAATAAGCATTTTATAGGGTATTTTGAGTGATTTCGGCTCATAATGAAATGTTTCCCTCCTTATCTCCTAGACAAATTTTTGTACAAATATGAAACCAACCATATTTTGTAGCAGATTTTAAGGGCTTTCAGATAGGTCTAAAAGAAATTTTTTATACAAGTCTCAGGGAGCTAAAATAATTTTTAAAGTACTGTACCCCGATTTCCCAGTGATTTTTGAGATTTGAGATCTCGATGAAGAAAGCAAGTACAGACTTCTTTTTTTCTATAATTCCATTCAATATCAATGGAAATGTTTATAAAAAATTTTTAAAATTTTTTCGACTTGTTTTAGAACGTAAAATTTTTTTGCTTCCATACTTTTTTCCGCGCAAAATTTACATTGTTTACTTTAGCCAATTATAAAAAGATAAATACTCGATAAAAGTGGTTTCTATTTATACTCATTTTAGAGGTAATCGATAGGACTTTAAAATTTATAGTAGACAAAAAATGATTTAGGGTTCGTACGTCGAGGAATTTAACGAAGTTTACTTTTTAAGCTCTTGCTTCCATACTTTTTTCCACCACTGTATTCTCTTTAAAAGTCTGTGACCCATTTTTGGAAAACAAAAATTCTTTTTTTTTATTAATGTTCCCCCCTATAAACAGCTTAACTTTATAAATCCTTAAATAATTCCTTTTTGTTTTTCATTGTTTTTTAACTAAAAAGTCTCTTATAAAATTCATTTTATTCCAAATTTTTATCAGTTTATGGGTAACTTTCTGGAAATAATCATTACATTTTTATTTTATTTTAAGAGAATTTGTTTTGTATTTTTAAATTTAAAAGTTAACTATTTTTGTTTTATAAAACTTTTATTAACATCCCGAAACCAAAAAGTAGTTAAAAATTTTTTTAATCTTTACAACTTCACTTCTCTCATTTCTTTCCTTATTTCTCCAAATTTGCGAAATCTTCTCTTTATTTTCCGAATTAAAAACAAAGCAATTTCCTAACCCAAAAAAATATTTTTTGTTTGTTTGTTTTCTAATAAAAAAATATTTTTCAGTGATTTCTTATCTCTTAACATATTTCTCTAATAAACAAACAACCTTCTCTTTTTGACCCTTTAAAATATGGAAGAGGCCAAAGGTTTTCTTTTATTTTTGCTGATATTAATAACTAAAAGTACACAAACACACAATTTATTTTTATATTTTTTAGTTGATTCTTTCGTTGACTCTAAAGAAGAGGAAGACATTCAACAAGACTTTGACAAATCTGAAACTGAGACCAAACTTAATTCTTCGTCTACTAATTTGGTTGTAGAAGAAGAAGAATACAATATGGACAAATCTAATGCTAAGAATAATTCTTTGACTCAGCAGGACAATGCTCAACTTGGTATATATTCTTTAAATTTTAGTTGGGGTGTTTGTTGATCGGGCCTAGATCACGAGCAGTTATAGCTCATGGTCAAAGTTAAATATTGGTAATTGAAGAATACTGACCGTAAAAGCAGTTTTATGGGTATAAAGTGCGCCGATCGTGAAAATAAGGGCTGTTATTACTAGACAAAAATAAACATAAATAAACGACTCCTCCTCTTTTCTTCTCTTTTTGACCTACCTATTCATATAACCAAATTGTAAATATTCTCCACAAATTTTATTCCAGTTCTTTCAAAAGTTCATAAATTTAAACAGGTATCCAAACACCCAAAGAGAATATGCAAAAGGTTGATGGGCAACAGGGAAAGGATCGTACTAAGGACTCTAATGTGATGGCTGCAAATGCCGCAGATAAGCATGCTGAATACGTTGGCGGGAAGCTCAAGCGGCTTGGCGAGACGGGTCCTGTTCAGAAGGTAAAAATACTGCTACAGTAGACCTTTGGGCTTAAAAATTGTATCTTAAGAACAGTTGGAACTCCCCCTCTTTTTTCCGTTTTTGTAAATTTGAGCATTTTTGTGCATTTTCTTGTTTAAAAATTTTCTGAGGAAGGAGAGTAAAATTGAGGATATAAGTAATTCCATTACGTTCATTGATAGATGGAAAGGAAGAGGAGATGTTTTCAAATAAAGCTTATATAAACTGTATAAGCTCTTTAAAAACGTCAAATTTCCCTACTAATTTTAATTTTTTTCAGACCGTTTCTGCCTTAAACCGTATTCGAGGATCTGCTGAGACGAATGACCAAACGCTTGGACGTATATCGAATGCGATGTATTCTGCTGATTATGGAATTACATATTTGGCATGGCGTTTGATTTATGGTTTGAAAGACATGACTTCGAATGCTTATACTGTTGCTCAACGAAAAGGTTAAAAGAAAATTTTCATGTATTTTATTGGTATTCTGAAAAAATTAAAGAATTAGTAGATTCAGAAAGGATTAATTCATGTTTAAATTATGCAACCGGATGTGAGATTTTCTTGTGAATGGAAAGGGAATTTCCCTTTCCTTTTTCGTTTCTTCTTACTACCTTCCTTTACTTTCCAATCTACAAAGCCTTCTCTTGAAAAAACTTTTAATCAGAATGGTTAGACTAATTGTAAAAGTTTTGTATTTTATAGGGTTAACTAGACCGCCAGTTATTGCTCTCGGCATTGCTTTGCTTCTTCCAATTCTGACAGTTATGTCACCTTTTATCGTTGGCTTAGCTTTTGTTTTGATTCCAACTTTCTTCTTTGGATTTTTGTTCTTTGGAATTCCTTCAATTTGTGGGACTGTTGTTTTTCTTTTGTTTGTCTACCTTTTTGGTGGAATGCCTAAATTATATTCGATGGCCAATAATTTGCTTAACAAAATTTTTGGAAATGATTTTGGTAATCGAATTGAAGGGGAAGAAGGAAATGACAATCCGGGGACGAGTCAGAATAATTAGAGAAGAGAGGGGGACTAATTAAAGAATAAATAAATTAAAAGGGGAAAGGAGAAGATGACAACTTATTTTAATTTTGTTTTTGGTAAAACCATAAAATAAATTTTTTTGGTAAAAGCTGTTTATTTAAGAAAAATAATTTTTTAAATTTATAAAATTTATGGTTTTACAAAAAATTCTTTTGACTTAAAAAAATAATTTAATTTCGAATTATGTTTGGTTAATTGTTTTTATGAGTTATATTTTTCAAAATATGTTTTCATTTTGGTAGGAATATAAAATATTTGACAATTAAATTGGACAATTTTTTTATAAATTTTCGACCAAATTTTTTCAACCAAAAAACAAAATCCCTATAAGTCACAAAAGTCTCTACCCAGATTGAAAGCCTTGAGTACAACTCTCCACAATTTTTCTGTGTTTTTCCGTTTTAGTCCCTCAGTTCCACCCGGAAATCATGTTGTTTTTCTGTTTTCAATCACCTGCTGCCAAGAGTTATAGAAAAAAGAAATTAAACTTATTAAAAAAATAAAATTCATTAAATTTCTTATTCACTCCACTTATTTAATTTAAAAAATTTTAACAAAAATTTCATGTTTTCTCTATTATTTTGATTAAAAAATAATAAGTAAAATTTTACAAAATAAAAAAATATTCTTACACTTTTAAGAAAGATTTAAATATTTATTTTACCAAATCTTTTAAATATTTTTTTAATGAAAAGTGCTTTTTTCTTCAATCAAAATCCCTTATTATCTACTTTTAAATTAATTTAAATAATTCATTTCTCTTCAATTAGTTTAATTGTTTTATTTTGCCTTTCCCCCCTCACTTTTTTAATCCTTAACAAGAAGATAAATTACTGTAAATATCTAAAAAATGAGATGAGGAGTTTTGTCAGTCTAAATATTTTTTGTTTTTAGTATTTTTTCACTTTCTTCACACTCCCTTTACTTGCTTATTTGCTTCTGGCCTCTTTTTAACACAATTTATAACATTTAATAATAGGTCTAGTTTAATGTCCTCATTCTTTTATGGAATTGTTGCTGTCTTTCTGTTGTTTTTTGGAGATGTTCGACTCGAAGTTGTTGAAGATTCGACAACTACACGGACAACAGCTACAACTGTACATCAAGTAAAAAGTGCAACTGTTGGAACTGGACAGTTAATGTCTGGACAGAAAGTAAAGCATTTGGGATAGAAATACATTTTTTATTAAAAGTTGATCGGGACAACGGGAGATATCGAAAATCTAGGAGATTGAAATCTTGGTATTCCTCTGGGGAATAAAGGCAAAATTTACTTAATTACAAAGTATTTGGACGCCTGAATAAAAAATTTTCTGTCCGACTCTGTACAGAAAAAACATGACCCTTTTCGTTAGGAATCAGGCACGAAAGGATTATTCGGAACGTCTGGCCTCAAAAGCTAACGAGTAATTTCAATTAAGGGAAATGATTCTTCAATATCTTCAAGTACTACACGTTCACTTGCGTTCATGAATAGTCCAAATTTTAGGTATTTAAAAAATTCAGGTAATTTTGAACTTTTTGACTCGTTATTCTTTTCCTTCTTCAAAAATCACATAATTGTTAAACATTTCTCTACGGCATACACGAATAGGAGATAAATAATTTGTTATAATTACCAAACTCCATATCTACGTTCACTTTAATAATTCTTAGTTTACCCCCACATTTACGGTAGATTCGTTTTCCGTGAGCAGTTCAATCTTCTTTGAGCCATGCATCGAAATCTTTATCATGTGTGTTTTTTTTATTTTTGGCAGGAAAATAATTCAGTCACAAAGTTCAAAATTGCCAAATTTCCTTCAAAAAATGTTTTTTATCTAAATCGTTCAATCTTTGTTTGGAATAACAAAAATTCTTTTTTTAACCATTTTTTGCAAATTCATTAAAGCGGGATCAAAGTGCGTGTCGGACACATTGGAGCAATTAATGTAATGCCGAAGGCTGAACAAATTTTGGAGGTTTGCCGCAAGGAATTGTGGAAGGAAGGCGTTTTAAACGAGGATTTCGATATTGAGTTTGTGTACTGATTATATTTTATACTGGGGACTGATATGTACTGATTATAACTGATACAATGGTTGTTGAATTAAGAGTGTTTAAATTGGGTTGAATTGAAGTAGAGGTTCTAGTAGGAAGGAAAAAACTCGAAAAGAACCCTCCTATGACTGAAGACTTTTAGGTATTAATATTTATTGTTCAGTTGATAGTTAGTCAATATATACAGTTGTTCAGTAGGAAATCTTTTACCAGATTTAGGTAATATTTAATTATCTCACTGGTAGTCTAGCTGTGCGCCAAAACATTTTTAGAAAACGCCAAAACTCAAAATTTAATTTTTGCGCACAGCTAGACAGGTTTTGATTTCCAAAAAATTATTCTCTGTTATTTTTACAAAAAAAGACATTTTTTTCTTAAAGAATAATCTCTCAAATGGGATGTGGGGAAAGTTTTGAAGGGGTTGCTGTTGGTGCAGACATGTACCATCAACAAAATGTTAAGGCATTTATTGGCCCTTATTGTAATGCAGAAATGGATGCTGTTAGTAAAATGGCTGCTTTTTGGTTATTTTTTAAATAAAAAATATTTTTAAAAAGTATTTTTGAAGGAATGTTCCAATAATTGGATATATGGCTGCTAGGTAGTTTTTTTGAAAATTAGAGGGAGACTTTATTATAAGTTACATCTAATACTAGAGATACTTTTAATTTATGAAAGTTGTTTGGTCAGTTGGTTGAGGGAGAGCTGCCTAAGTAACCCCCCCCCCCCCCAGGGCTGTACACAATTGAGGATTGCGTTTGATTTTTAAAAAGAAATTGCAAGTTGCGGGATCTTTTTTGCGATTGCCCTGCTCTCCTCCACTTTATTTAAAATACCTAAGGTTACAATTATTTAACCTTGAGGCTGTATCTTAGTGAAGTTTGAGTGAAAAAGGAAATTAAAACAAAATTAATTTAAAGTAATGTTTTCTCTGACAAAACAATTTACAAAACTTTGGCACGTGTTTCGCTTCGAACAACTAATTCGGTTGTTTTTATAGAAATATACTTTAATATTTAAATTATAGCTAGCATTAGCTGTTTATTCATTAATTAGACATTATGGGTGGAATAGAGTAAGTGATGTTGTTTTTTGTAGAAATAAAAGAGGGAATATTTAATTAAAGGTTGCAATTGCTACAAATACAGGTCCAATGGCTTTTGAAAGAACACAAGCATTTGAAGAAATTTTTCATGCAAGAAAGATTACTGTAGTTAAGGTAGAGGAATCGTATCCCCTCAAAATCTCTATTCCTTAAAATCTCTACTGGGCTAAAATGCCTTATAATCTCTACACAGCTAAAATGCATTAAAATCTCTACTCGGCTAAAAATGATTAAAATAACTATTCCTTAAAATCTCTATTCCTCATAATCTCTACAAGGGTAAAATGCCTTAAAATCTCTACACGGCCAAAAATAGGATAAAATGTCTATTTTTTCATTCGGAAGCCTTTTGAGTGCCAACGTTCAGTGCGGAAACGTTGTTCTGATTTCTGGCTTATCTTTTGATATTATTTTGCTTGTATTGTTTTTGCCGCTGCGGATGAACACAGGCATGTCCAGCGGAACGACAGCAGCCGCTTCGATACGATCACCGCAAGCAAAATGAACACGACCGCAGCGAAGCAGTCGTGTATTATATCTTCGATATTTACAGCGGATACAAGCAGATATCCGCAGCCATTTTTAAATCAATTGTATCCGTATCCATTACCAAGTCTGGGTTTTCCAATGAATAGTTCATATTTTACACTTTTGTTGAGACTCTACCGTCCATTTGCACGGTGTAGAGATTTGAATTATTTTTACCCCAGTAGAGATTTTAAGGAATAGTTATTTTAAGGAATAGAGATTTTAAGCATTTTTACCCTAGTAGAGATTTTAAGGAATAGCGATTTTAAGGAATAGAGATTTTGTATGGGAGCCAGAGGAATTTATCATTTGGTTAATAAAAGAGAGAGAGTTATCACAATTGAGAGTAATTCTAAAATACTTCTAAAAATCACTTAGTTTTTACGAATTTACGTGTAACAAAAACTGGAATTTAAAATATACAGTCAATTTTTTTTTCAATCACAAACAATAATAGATATCTCAATTAAAAATTATAAGAAACGATTTTCTAGCCTAGAGGGTTTGGCTGTTCAAAATTTAGTCCTTTAATTTAATATTTTTAAAGAAACTAATGTTTGAAGAAAATGTTGATTCAAAAGGAATGATGGCAAGTGGTTATTTGGAGGATTTGAGAAATTCAGCCAGAAGTAACTAAATTTATTTAATTAGATGTTTCATTTTTAAAACCAAAAAAGTTGTCATTTGTTTATTTTCTTCTACCCGGGAAAGCACAAAAGAATTTATGCAAGCTGTCAGTCTTTCTGGACTTAAAACACACGAATATGTTTATATATTACCTTGGCTACAAGCTGAGGCTAAAGATGCTTCTCCGTGGATTGGGGCTGATGGACAAATGGTTCAAAATGTTAAAGAATTCTTTACTGGATCGATTATTGTTGGTGTTTTTTAATTGAAGATTAAATATTTTATTGAGTTTGTATTTGGGTATAGTAGTCTGGAAAATAGGGGGTTTCTATAAAATTGGGTCTATTTTTAAAATCTAGTTTTGGATACTTTAAACGAAATATCAAAGCCAGAAAAATCGTAAATTAAAATGATTTTTATGTGGAGATATTAAGCATTTCTGCCAATTTTTTTGAAGATTTTTTTACCATTTCTCCCATTTCTCCAAATTGACAAACACATTTACATAAGTAAAATAAATAGAAATTTATTTTTTTAAAGATTGATGATGTAAATGGATTTGACAATACAATATTAACACCATTTAAAGAAAGAGTTGAATCTAATGGAATGTCTGTAGAAGATTTAAATTTGGTTCTATAATAGATTTAATTAAAATCTTATTTTAATTTTTAAAGCAAAATATTTATGGTTATATCCATTTATATGATGCTCTAAAACTTTATTCTTTGGCTGCCAGAATTGCTTTAAATGAAACTAATGGAAATCCAAATGTAACGACTGATGGACGTTATTTGTGGAATAAAATGCGAAGAATGACCTTCCCTGGTAGATAAATTTAAATGAAAATATTTTTTTGAATTTTGTTTTCGGTGAATAAAAAATTATTTTTTTTGGGTTTCCTTAAAAATAAATATGTTACACCCCAGTCTTACTCACTTTTTCACTAAAGAAACCAGCCAGCCCTTCAGGTTCGAGTTCAACGTTTAATATTATTTTTAGAGACAGGATTTTTAGGCACGATAAAGTTAAAAATAGGCGTCTATATAGGCACTATCAAACTGCTAAAATAGGCACTAAAATACGAAAAAAAGCAAAATAGGCAGTATTTTTTCGAGATTTTCTGATTTAAATTGACTAAATTTTATTAAAAAAGATAAATCTAAGCAATAAACTGTTAAATAAATTAATTTTGACGATCAGAATTACATATAAATTGATTTATATTAATTATTTTGTTTCCAAAAATAATTTGATAAATTTTTCAGAAGAAAATTTTTCCCAAAAAAAATTTTTTTACAAAAATTTTTTGGAAAAATTTTATATTTTACCAGAAAAAAATTTTTTAGACAAGAATTTTCTCAAAAAATGCCCAAAAATTCGCAAATTTTAGTAAAAATAAGCAAAATAGGCTGAAAAAAGGCAAAATAGGGCATTTTGTCAGAAAAAGTTAAAATAGGCAATTTTAGGCAACGATAAAATTAGTTAGAAAGCAGATTTCAGTAAAATAACACCGGATTTGGACGTTTCAGCATCAGGCCTATCTAGGAAAAAAACAGGCATTTGCCTAAAAATCCTGTCTCTAATTATTTTATATAGAGGAGTGAACCATTAACCTTCTCCTTGATATAGAAAATTTAAAAGATATATTCTTGATTTATTCTCGACAAAAAAATTATTTTTAAAGGACTTGTCAGTGCTGAAGGCGTCTCTTCGGGACAGGTAACTTCCTCTCATCTTCGTTCTGCAGATGTAAATATTTTAAATAAAAATGTGTTTTTTCTCCTTCTTTCTCATTTTTAAATTAACATTAAATAATTTTGAATTATTTTTAAAAGGTTTTTATGGATGATTTAGCTGAAAGAGCTGCTATTTATGCTGGTAAAAATTAAAGATTAAGAAATAACTAGAATAATAATCAGAATACATACATAACTGAATAGCAGAATAACTGCAATCGAGCCTTAGTATAAAGTTGAGGATGGAAAAATGTAAAAATAAATTCGAAAATTATTCTATCGAATATTCAATTTGCAAGAGCTCCTGTCTAAATTGAGTGCCATATTAACTGACACCTCGATTCCTTATTTCTGCTTACTTTTATTGGCCTTCGGATATCATTTTCCAGCTCCTGGGCATTGTCTTTTTAGACCCAAGATGTGTCAACATAACTGTAGCTATTCTTATATTTTTTTAAAAATAATGACGGTGCATGTCTCTAAAAAACTTTTTTAAGCATTTTATGTTGCTCCAAACCGTGATGATGTAATGAAAATGGTTGAAATGAATCCAATTCCAACACCTAATTGTGATGGTGTAATAAATAAAAGTGGATGTTTTGAATTGAGAATTACTGATCTTTTGACTGGTTTTTGGCCTTCGACTGATGGGTAGGGATAAAGGGGAAAAATTGAATTTATTTAAATTAAAGTTTAATTAAATTCTGATGGGTAAAAATAAACTTTAATAAATATAATTTTTGAGGGTTGTTTAAGAAGTTTAATTAAAATATTTTTTTATAATTTATATAAAATATTAAAATTATTTTTTAAAAATTTCCATTTTGTAGTCATTTACCCCCAGACGAGCCAGCTTGTGGTTTTAGAAATGAACGCTGTGATTATACTTTAATGATTGTTATTGGTATTTTGGCTTTGGTGGCTTTGTTGGGTGTTGGGGCTGGATTTATATTCTTCAGAGTTTTGTTAGTTTTCTTTTAAATTATTCCCTTCTTTGGACAGGGGTTATTTGGAAATCTAGATTTCAATAATTATTTTTATTTTTCCTTTATTTTCTAGAGAAAATCGAGCTCTTGCAAAAACATCTTGGCGTATATTCCGAGATGATATGAGAATTGTTAGTGCTGAGGAAATGAAGTCTATGGTTAATTTGTTTGAATTTAAATTTATTTCTTTCTTTCTTTTAAAGCTTTCAATAGGTTCATCAAAAACAAAATTATCTAATATGGCACGTTTTGCAAAACATCATGCCGTTATTGGTAAATAATATAGTTGGGCCTTATTACAAGATACATCCTCAATTTAAGACGGGGGACAATAAGTAGGGGGGATCGGCCAATGCGTTATAAGCCCCAAGGGTGTATCTTGTATTGAAGTCTAATTGATAAGATTTCTTAACAAAAAATTAATTTCAATTCTTTTCAGGTACAAATACCCACGCTTCATTCCATTTATACCCTCAACGTCGCCCAATTTCTTTTATTCGAACAGATTTACAATTATTGTCAATGATGAAAATGCTAGTACACGATAATTTAAATCCGTTTATGGGAATTGCTTTTAATGAAAGTTTGAGAGAAAAATTTGAGAAAAAAAAATTTTGAAAAATTTATAGAGGACGAGTTGCTAGTTTTGTGGAAATTTTGTTCTCGTGGAACAATTCAGGATATTATATATAATGAAAGTGTTACTTTAGACAGTAAATTTCATGCTGCTTTTGTTAGAGATATTACTTTGGTAATTTAATTAATTTAGAGAAATTCTGCGAGTGTTTCAAAATTCTGTGCTTAAAATCGGAAATATATAACCTTCCGATTTTTTAATTCCCTTTCTTTTTATTTTCAACGAATCCAGAAATTTTTTAATTTTTAGGGTCTAGAATATTTACACATGTCACCAATTGGGTATCACGGTTCATTAACTCCTTGGGCCTGTTTAATTGACAGAAATTGGATGGTTAAATTAACTGATTTTGCAATAGCTAATTGTATAGAACGTTGGGAAAAGAGCGGATACGTTACTAAAGAAACGCTTAAAGACGGGGAAGATAAAAGTGGAGCTACACAATTGACAAGTAATTAATTTAAAGAAGCGGGGGGTGTAAATTATTTGAGAGAGATTAACTAATATAGCATATACGGTAGACGGTAATTACTACAGTGGAGATATTCGCGGACATCCACAAAGCCTTGTTTAATAATGTACTTATAATCTAAAGGCCATGTACTCGATAGGCCTAACGTTTGTTTCAATTTCAAAAGGATCTAGGCTTGTCCGCAAAAGTTGTTGAGTATAACAAAAATTATTTCTTCAATTTTTAAGAATTCCCTAAATTAAAATATATTTTAGATGTGCTTTACTGCGCCCCAGAGCTGGTAAGTCCCTTTATTTGTTACAAATATTTTAACTTTTAATAAATGCATCACAGTTGTCCTCTCTATTACAAGTGAGAAAATTGTCTAAAACTCTAGATTTCTCACTTTCATTAAAAAAGAATTTGGGGTTCGGCGTGGCTCACTCCCCTCCTTCTCCCGAGCTTCGTAGCATGACCTTACCGAAGACAGAGTTATAGAGGATACAATTAGACTTCTGTATAAAATACCCTTTCATAATTCGGTGTATATTGTTCCGTGGGGATTTCGGTTCCTTGTAACAGATGCCGAACCCTAAAATTAAATTCCATTTTTCTGCCTATTTTAGCCTTGTTTTCACGTTTTTGCGGAAATTTGTAATTAAAAAATGAAAGAATTTTTGTTTAAATTCTTTTAATTTTAATTTCCTCTTAAAGCTCAAAAATCGCGAACAAAATCGTCGACGTGGAATGGAACAGGGATGGTTAAAACAAAGTCAGGCTAGACGACAAGCAGGGGATATTTATTCTTTTGGGATTGTTATGTATGAAATTTTGTTTAGGTAGGGGATAGCTTTTGAAGGCTTCTCTTAAATTCCTTTTTTAGAGCCCTGCCCTTCCCAGAAGGCACCGATTTGACGGGTAAGTTTGCTGACAAGGAATTCTCAGGCAAGTGGCAGTGGCAGGCCTAATTTATTTTTATTTATTTTTTGAGTAATTTAAACAAAAATTATTTTTAATTTAAGAAAGGCCATTTTAGAGTAAATTCACTTGCCTTTTATTTGTGTTTGTTTTTATTTTTCCTCTTTTTCTTCTTTTTTCTGTTTACTATTTACTGGCACAAAACTTGTTTTTTTAAATGAAATCTTCCTAATTCAGGAACCTGTTACCATATATGTTTCAGGAATTACCCTGGGTAATTATTGTTTCAACCTCTCACTGAATGGGGTAATTAATTGAGAGGGGAGGGGTAATTATTTGTAGAGGGGGTAATTGGGGGTATTTATTTGTTCATATGCTGTATTTGAACTGAAACCATGAAACTGGAACTACGGAAATACTCGACAGGAAAAATTAAACATGGAACCGGTAGATTTTTTGGGCATCCCTTTTAGGGGAGAAGGAGATGAGGAGATGATCTAGTTTCCTTAAATATCGAAAAATACTTATCAGTTCATTTCCTCGTTTAATCCAGAAAAAAAACCCACGGGGATTTGGCTCAATTCCCTTCTATAATTAACAAGTTTTGATGCTCTTTATTTTAACTTTTTTTCTAATCACAAAAACAAAATTATTTATTTTTAAATATTTTCAATTAATTAAATTTAAATTAAAGAATTATGTGAATATGTCCGTGATGGCTCTAAAACATTTAAACCCGTTATTGCTGATCGTTCACAAATACATCCAGATATTATTGCTTTATTACAGGTAAAAAAATATTTTTTTGGTTTGTTATCTTATCAATAGGGACGTTAACCAATTTACATAAATATAAAAATAATTTCGGATTCGGACATCTTAAATTGTGGGGAGTTCAGGGAAAGTGTGGGAAATAAACCTAAAAATTACCAATTTTTTACTTAATATAAAAAATTATATTTATTAAAGCTTTATATTCTTTGATATATTACAAAAATTTGGGTCGCTTAATATATAACCGATATCTTTAATTTTTGGAGGAGGTTATTAACTAATAACCTTTATTATTTTTGATACAAGATTTATTTATATTTTAAATAGAGACTGGACCAAGACGAAGTCTCGAATAAAAATCTCAGTTATTGAGATCTAGATATATTCAAATACACTCTAGAGCTTTGCCGGGAATTCCAGGATTTATTGGTTCGGGTTTCGGTTTGTTTGTAATGTTCCGGTCCGGAACCTAAAAATTAGATCCGGTTCGGATCCGGCCAAATTTGCGGTTCCGGCGAAGCACTACGACACTCCCAGTCCGGTCTCTAATCTTAACTAGTGGTATCGTCTCAATCAAATTAAGAAAACTTTTCTTAAAATATTTTTGTTGTTATTCTTTTTATTAGACCTTTTTTAAATTTGTTCCAAACATGTTCCACAATATATAAATTATGTATTATTTGGAATAGTAAAGGGTCCAACTTTATATAAATTTCTTAAAAATTAATTTTTTAATTAAAAAAAGGATTGCTGGGCAACAAATCCAGAAATCCGTCCATCAATTAGACGCGTCCGTCTAAACACAGAAAATTATTTAAAAGTAAAAGGATCTCTTGTTGATCAAATGATGAGAATGATGGAACAATATGCAAATAATTTGGAGAAGTTAGTCCAAGAAAGGACTGGAATGTTGGAAGATGCAAATAAAAGGGCTGATAAATTGTTAAATCAATTATTGCCCAGCTATGTTGCTAATGAACTGAAATTGGGACGTTCTGTTGCTCCTAAAACGTTTAAATCTGCATCTGTTATGTTTAGGTAAATTTTGAAAGAAAAATTCTGTATTTCAAAAGTAAAGCAGCTAGGCTATACTAGCTATTTCTCTCCTTTAGCTAGTGCAAAAGGTTATTCGGCGGCTGGGTGCGAACCAGCGTCTTCAGTAGACCGGACTGATATGTTATTCGTTACACCACACCGCCTACTGTACAGCCTTAGGAAATACCTAAATAGCTGCTATATGCTTTACACAAATCTTGACATGTTTTTTTGGCAATAAATATTAATAATCATTGAAGTTTTTAGAAAATATACTCTAGAAGAATACATAATATAAAGTCTTAATTTGATTTGGATTGAGATTCAAGATTGTGTACAAGAATAATTCTGTCCAGAATTTTGGAGTTTGAGGGAATAAGTTGGGGGGTTACAAACACTAATTAGTATATTTTTGTAAATCAACAAATAAATAAATATATTTAGTGATATTGTTGGGTTTACTACTTTATGTTCTGGTTCTTCTCCTCTTGAAGTTGTTACTATGTTAAAGTGAGATTATTTTAAAGGAAAAAATAATTAAATTAATTTAATTATTAGTACTGTATATACAGGATTTGATGATTTAATTAACAAACATGAAGCTTATAAAGTAGAGACTATTGGTGAGTAAATAAATAAAATAAATATGGGTTTAGTTACGATACTGGTTACGTCAGGGAGAACGTCTAATTACACCTGGGGCAGCGTTTACGGAGTCATATTTTGGCGCTGGAAAGCCTATCGGCTTTGCGATACTAGATGGTAATAAATCGCCATGGATTTCCAATAGGTTATAAATAAACGAGCTTTCCATGCACAAAAGATCTTTTAATGAATTACTGCAATCTTTATATTTTTAAAAAACTGGAGGGATTACCTTTTAACTCAATTAAACTCCTCTTTATTTTCCTCTTATTTTTAGGTGATGCTTACATGGTAGCGAGTGGTATTCCACAAGAGGTAATACTTATTTTATTCCAGAATAAATTTTAATCATAAATTTTTTTAATAGATTGGTGTTCGTCATTTAATGCATTTAAGCGATGTTGCACTTGAAATTATGGCTGTAAATTATTTTTTTAAAAAAAAATAATTTTCCCTTTAGTTTCTAAAAAATTATGAAATTCCGCATATGAAACCACAAAAAATTCGAATAAGAATTGGTGTCCATACAGGAACTGTTGCTGCTGGAGTTGTTGGTTTAACTACTCCTCGTTATTGTCTTTTTGGTGATACGGTGAGTGTTTTTGTTAATTAATTTTAATTTAATTTTAATTTAAACAGGTGAATATGGCCTCTCGTATGGAATGTATGTTTTTTAAGAATATTATTAAATTAAAACTCCCAAAAGAGAAAACCAATTTATATAACCCTTAATTTTTGTTTTCCTATCGATTTTCGAAATTTTTTAAGAATTTTAGAATTTTGATAATTTATTTTATTACTAAGTTCTGGAGAGGAATGAGATGTTTACTATAATTAATATTTTACGACACCTTGGGCTATTACCCCTCATTTAAATTTACCTAATTTCAAATATTTTTCGTGAATAATATGAGATTGTTATATGTATGTACATAAATTACTCGACCCTCTAAATTATTTTTAAAAATTTAAAGCAAATGGACTACCAGAACGTATCCAAATAAGTGAAGCATTTAAAGAAGCATTACAAAAGCACTATCCAGAATTCCGTGTAAAACCTCGAGGAAAAGTGGAATTGAAGGCAAGTTTTGAAATTTTTGGGGACTAAATATTTTGTCATAGGGTAAGGGAATTCACCCCATTCAGGGAAAAGGAGAATGTTTTACTTATTGGCTTTGTGGAAAAGTTGGACAGGAAGATGAACAGCCATATGCACCCTCTCCTGAATTGTTGTCTCAAGTACAGGCTATCTCTGCTGGGGGGCCATTACTTAATGCTGAATCTCCAATAAGTATAACTGTTGGTTAAAAGAAATGTTTTGGAATGAAGAGAAATGAGGAATAAAGAAGGGAATTAAAATTTATATTTGTGATTTTTTTATCTTTAGTAACCTATATCCCCTTTAAAAATTTATTCTTTAAACATATTTCCCCTCCTTTTAAAAATTAGAGTTTGGACTTTTTAAATTCCCAACCCTTTATTCTTTTTTATTGTAAATTGACCAGCTGGTTTACAGGGTTAAAACTCTTTAAAACTATTTGCGTCAAAAAAACCCAGTCTTTGACACTGGAAACCCCAATCAGAATCTACCTAGTCCAAACTCTATTTTCAAAACCTCCCCTTTAAATAGTTAAAAACAACTTAGTGTTTATTTTGTTTATTTGTAACTAATTTTACTCTATAATGTTTTTAACAGTTTATAAAGAATATTTTCGGAGAGAATATAATTATTAGGGGTTAAATAAGGTTATTAATTGGAGAGGTTAAATACATGTAAAAAAATAAAGGTTGTAAATTTCTTAGTATTTTTTGGAAAGAAAAAATATTTGTTGCTTTTCAAAAGACAAGGAATATACATATTTGTATGTATTTTCCGGAAAACATAAGGGGTTCTCATAAATTAAAATTTAACAAAAGAAAAATATCCTTCAACAATAAAACTTGGCAAAAAAACTTTCAAAAATTTATTTAAATAATCTTTTAATTAAAATAATACAATAACGAGTTTTATTTTTTGAAAAACTTTTAAATTTTGAAAAAGTCAAAAAAATATATTAAGCAAAATTGGCTTGTAAAGCATTTGAAGGGAATGTAAAAATAATTAATTTAAATATTTTTCTTTTCTTCAATTTCTTTCTTTCTTGTTTATTTACTCATCAATTACTAAAAATAAAAAATATTTTTCAAATCTTCCAAAATTTTTTCTACCTTCCACCCCAGTCTTTACAATTGGCTCAACATGTTTTAACCCAGTTTTGTCAAATTCAGCAGCCATTTTTGGTGTTTTCTCGGATATTATGTCTTGTGTTGTAGGCAACACATTCCTTCAAAATTTAAATTTTTAAAAATTATTTTTTCTTTTCCCCTCAACTTTTCCTCAGCCTCAACATGTCGCAGACTCGAATTTTTATCAAAATCTTCAATTCCTTTCTTCAAATCTTCACGATTACGTTCTTCTTGCAAATCTTGTTTTGTTGGCAAAACGTTCTTCTCTAAAGTCTCAACATGCTTTAAACCAGCACGTTGGGCTACTTCGGTTTGCATTGCTTCCGACATTTTTGGAAGTTTCGAAGAGTCTGTTTCGGTCATTCTTAAGAGAAATTATTTTGATAATAAATAATTCTGAAAATGAATTTTTAATAAAAAAACTTTTTATTTTTATGTGCCTCTGGAATATTATACATATTTACAGAAAAATTAATTTCAAAAAATACAAAATTTTTAAATACACAAAAAATATATTTTGTTTTTTACACAATATAGAATTTCCGAAAAAAATGAAAATTTAGATATACAAATTGAGGAAATTACATCAAATATTATTTTTAGTATTTAAAAATTATAATTAGCTTTTTAAATATAAAAACTTGTATTTTTGTTGTTTCCGGAAAATCCTTTTTCTTTACATTAAAAAAATATTGTCATTTCCAGAAATTTTTTAAAATTGATTCCAGTGTTTTCCGGAAAATTTACAATTATAAAACACAAATATGTATTTGTAAATATTTAAACAATTTTTGTGTATTGTGTAAAAAATAAAGAAAAAATATGTTATTTTTATAACAACCATTCTACAAAAAATGGAATGAATTGATTTGTAAATGGGGGAACACAATAACGGTGAATATATAAAAATAAATAAATTTATATATTTAATCGTTATAAGAGAGGAAAGGAAAATATATGAATCAGCCACAAACATTTTTCAAGTCCTTTTTACATTCCGACGATTGATGCGATTACAAATAAAATAAAAATAAATTTATTTTGAAGGACACATCATTTTATTTATTTTAATGAAAGAGAAAAGAATAATCGAGATTTGTGTAAAAGAGGGAAAGGAAAAAAACAATTTTTATGAACACATTTTGGAACAAAACAAAATCACTTTCATTAATTTATATTTTCGAATAAAGCTGTGGTCAAAAAGCAGCAAAAAGCAGTTAAATGAAACGTACATATTTAAAAGAAAAATCGATGTGTTCTGTTAGTTTTTAAATAAAAGAAAAAAATCTCTACTTTTAAAAATCTCTCTACGGGATACTAAAAAGTATTTTTTTATTTTATAAACAAATCTTTGCTCTTGTTTTTAATGGTTTTGGAGGATTTTTTGGTCAATGATACTTGACGGGGGTTAGATGGTTATTGTAATTTGTATATTTAAAAGAAAGCCTTTTTAAAAATTATTTTTCAAAGAAAATACATCAGAAAATTTCAATTTCTTTATCAACATGATAAAAGATAATTAAAAAAATAATTGTCAAATTATTGGTCATTTAACAAATATTATGCGTATGAAAATTTTAAAATAAATTTCCGCTTAAAAATTGAAAACATTCAAGTAGTCTTTCGAGTACTCAGATAAGTCTTCAGCTTCGGTTCGGCATAAACTTTGTCGACAAAATCAGTCAATTCTTTGTATTTCCCGACAATTTCCGGCTCGAATGAACGGACAAACTCAAAATACTCAGCCAATACAAAATCAACATAAGTTAAGCCAGATTTAACGAAAAATCCCGAACCAGACTCTGCCAACAATTTGACAAAAAGCGGAAAGACTCGTTCTGCACCAGGCAAAAATACATCCTTTCGAAGTTTATCCTAAAAAGAAAAGATAATTATGACAAAATACAGGGGGAGTATCTATAACTAACCACCAAGGGCGTAGCCAAGGGGTAAGCTTCTGGGGCTAAAGCCCCCCCCCCCTCCCCGAAATGGGAAAAAGGAAAAAATTTGGGGAAGGGCTGTGGCAAAAAAAAAGTGAATTTTTTGGCCTACGGCCTTCGAAATTTTAAAAATTTTCGCCTGCGGCGCTGAAAAAATAAAAATATGGTTAAAAAAATTTGCGTCCAGAACGCCAAGGTAAACGTCAAAATTTGGCGCACACCCAGTGTTTTTAACCTTGTAAAAATCAAAATCTCACTTTCATGTTTTTAGTTACTTTTGTGGCCAATTGTTAAAAATCAAAGGACCCGTCTGACAGAACAAAAAAAGTAAAAAAAACATCCCTTTGCCGTAACCTTGAAAATCCAAAAAAAGCACTAAAACCCCAAGAATAAAAATGAAAAATGAGGCAGATTAATTTAAAAAACCCTAACCACATCGCCTTCACGAATACCCCATTTAGCATAAAGATAAGGTGCCAATTCATTGTAAACATCCTTGTAAAAGTCAAAAATTTCAACAATTTTAGCCTTTTCCCATTCATCCTTTCCAGCCAAACCTTAAATAAAAAAGAAGAATAAAATATTTAAATGAGTATTTTACCAAATTTATTAGACAAATATTGAAGGATTGCGCCAGATTGGCTCAATTGTTTTCCATCAACTTCTAACACAGGAACTTTTCCATAGAAGAATTCTAAAGATAAAATATTTAACATCTTATAAATAGTCTGATTTTTCCTATAATTCAAAATTATTTTAAGTAAAAATTTCGTTCTTTACATAACTTAAAATTTTTAAGTTTATTTCGTACTATTTTTCTCGTTTGGCCAATTTTCAGCTGTAAAGCGGTTGTCTTCAAAAGTTTCTCCAGCATAATGAAAACTATAAAAATATTAAAAATAAAATATGGTATAATTTCGGAAAACGAACAGATCCGAAATAGGTCGAATTATATGTCATTCGAAAGAGCTCGTCGAGTTATGTCGAATGGTGAAAAAATTTCTGTGCGGACTCATAGAAGGGCTGAGATATAGGTCCGCGAAAATCGAAAAACCATAGGGGGGACCAAGCACTTTTTTGGGGTGAAAAATTCGAAAATGCAAATTATACCTCATTCGAAAGAGCTCATCGAGCTGAGTCGAATGACACCAAAATCAACGAAATCTGACTTGATTTGACAAAGTTATGATCGTTAGTTTTAGCTCCTTACCTTTGGTATCCGTCGAGGTTTTTCCTGCTACGGAGGAAGCCAGATAACCCATTACAGCAATAATTGGAATAGGATTAAGTTACGAGCCCAGAACCCATCGCCCGTAGACTCCCCGCGAGGCGCGTGCCGCAAAACCCCGCGCGAAGCGCGGGGTTTTGCACAAGCGCCTCGCCTACGCCCCATAGGTATACGTTGACCATTTTGAGCCTCTATCTCGGCTCAGAATTAAGATCTCGAGTTGATTTTGGTGTCATTCGACTTAGCTCGACGAGCTCTTTCGAATGAGCTATTATTTGCATTTTCGAAATTTTCACCCCAAAAAAGTGCTTGGTCCCCCCTATGGTTTTTCGATTTTCGCGGACCTATATCTCAGCCCCTCTATGAGTCCGCACGAAAATTTTTTCACCATTCGACTCAGCTCGACGAGCTCTTTCGAATGACATATAATTCGACCTATTTCGGATCTGTTCGTTTTCCGAAATTTTTCCTAAAATATAATTTATAAAACAAATTAACCAAAGTCTAATAGCTTCACCCAAACCACGCACATCAAAGTAATAAAGTTTGTATTGAACCATTTTTTAAGAAAATGTAAAGGTTGTAAAATAAAAATAAATCTAAAATAAAATAAGAGCGCAAAATAGTTGAAATAATTAGGTATATTTAAAGGGATTTGTCGTTGAGGTGGGTTGGAAATAGGAGGGGGAAGGGGGCTGTTTTTCCAATTAAACAAGTGGTTGGAAAGAGAAGGACTGTGAAATAAAAGGCTGTAAATAAATTGTACAATGGAAAAGAGGCGCAGAAGAAAAAAACGACACGAAACATACAAAATTTAATATAAAATTTAAAAATTGTAAATACAATTTTATGATTAATACAATTATTAAGGAATTTGAGTGGGGCGTTTCTGGACACTAAACACTCTTGAATGTAAATTTATGGAATAAATAAACAAAATTTAGAAAAGGCGTGGAAGAAAAAAACTTGCCGACTAAAAAACGAAAAATAAACAAAACGAGAGACTATAGAAAAGAAAGAGGTTGGGATAAAATGTCATTTTTAAAAAACATTTCGCCAACTTATTTTTTGTTTGCGAATTTTTAAATATTTAGGAGTGACTCATTTTTCTCTCAAAATTTTATTTCCTTGTAAGAACTTTTTAATTTTTTAAAGTTTTTGTTAATAATTTTTATTATTTTTAAAGAAATGTCTGTTGACAATTGGAGTTGTCCTAATTGTACATTAATTAACAACATTCAAGAACATTGTTGTAAAGCTTGTCTTTATTCATTTAACAAAAATAACCGTAATGGCTTTCTTCGAAAATTAAAATGTATTTTTTAAATTATTCAACTAAAATTTTTTTTTAATTTAAAGTGCCTCACTTCTCAGTCAATTCTGCCTTAGAAAAATTAGACTCAGCTCTAGATTTAATTACTAATAGCCCTGGACGTTCTTCTACAAGTCAACAAAATGTTCAAATTTATCCACAATTTAATCATTCCCCTGCTATTTGGAAATGTTCTAGCTGTTCTCAATTAAATAATCACCCAGGCAAAAGGTGTGTCTGGTGCAATTTGGCTAGGGAAACTGGTAAATTTAATTTTTTTAAATTTAATGTAGAGAATGGCGCGAAGAATTTAGTTATATACAATCGGATATCGATACCGCATCTCCCCGTTAAAATGTCTTTCTCTTTATTCTAAATTCAATTTCGAGGTGTGCTTTATAGAGATTTGACCCCCGATAGAACTCTTCCATTAGGACGTCAGCTCAATTCAGTCCCAATGGTGACGTTTTATCGGGATCGACTGAATATTAGTAAATATCTCGACTGTATGTCGAATCTTATGTTAAGTTTAATTTATTATTTTAGATGCTACTTATAATTATTGGACTTGTTCAAATCCAAATTGTTGTCTTAAACAGCCACAAACACCTTTAAATGGAAAATGCCCACTTTGTCGAGTAAAATCTTCATATCACCGAATGCAAACCTCTAAAAGCATGGTAATATAATTTTTTTTATTAAATTTATTTTAATTTTCTAGCCTCGTTTATCAGATATTGGACTTGTTGAAAATGTTCTTTCACTCCCTCAAGGAGAAAGTGATGATAAAATTGCCCATTCAGATAGATATAATTCAATAACCGAACATTGCAGGTTTTTCTTGCAATAGTGAATACTCTAAATTTTTAGAAAAAATTTTAAGATTGACTAATCATTGTTTTTTGGACGATTCTTTCCCACATTCTCTTCATTCAATCGGCCCTCTTTCACAATTTGAATGCAAAAATTTAGATATTATTTGGCTCCGACCTTCTGAAATATTTACTAGAGATGGACATTTAGTTCGATGGGCGGTTTTTAATGATCCTCAACCAACTGATATTGAACAAGGTTTTTTAAAATTATATTTTTTTGTGGGAAACAATTTTTACATAAATTAATTTTTAAATTAATTTTCGTCAATTTTAGGTCTACTCGGTAATTGTTGGTTTCTTTCTGCAATGGCTGTTGTTTCTGAAAGACCTGATATTTTAGAAAGACTTTTTCTCACAAAAGTCTACGATCATTATGGCGTTTATGAAATGAGGTTTTTAAAAAATCTTGTAAATCTATATTTGGTTTTTTATTAAAGATTATGTGTTGATGGATTATGGCAAAATGTTTTTGTCGATGATTTTTTTCCTTGTCATAAAAGAAGTCGAACAATGGTTTTTGGTGTTGGACGAAAGAATCAACTTTGGCCTTCCCTACTTGAAAAAGCTTTGGCTAAGATTTATGGAAATTATGCAATTTTGAGGGCTGGAAGGATTTGTGAAGGTTTATATTTATTTTTAATTTTCACGAAGATTTTTAAAGGACTTTCAACACTAACTGGAGCTCCAACAATTTCTTTAGATTTGGAATATATTGATTTAAATTTTGAAGGAAGAATGTCGGCATTAAACATTGTTTGGGCTAAATTATTAAGTGCCAGAGAAGCTCGTTTTATTATGGGATGTTCTTGTGGAGCAGGAAATCGTCCAGTCAATGAAGATGAATATAAGAAATTAGGTTTGATGAGTCAACATGCTTACTCTCTATTGGATGTTAGACAAACTAGAGAAGGACATAGGTATTTTTATTTTAGTTTTACTCCCAAATTAGCTACTCTCCTACCTCACATTTTAAGCTATACCTCATTATAAGTACAATTTCTCAGCCCGGTGGAATATTTATAACTTATAAAATTAATTCAAGATTAGTTCAACTTCGAAATCCTTGGGGTTCTTTTGTTTGGAATGGCGAATTTAGCCGTAAATGGCCCGGATGGACTTCAGAATTAAAAAAAGAACTAGCATCAGATGCAAATAAACAATCAGGGACGTTTTGGATGCCTTTTGAAAGATTAGCTAATTATTTTGATACAATTGATATTGCTCAAATTAACAGAGGTTGGATATCTACAAGGCATTTGTTGGATATTGGCTGGGTAGAAGGACGGACTAGGTTTGTTGAATATTTTTAAATACATCGGAAATACAAAAACTTAAATGTTGATAGAGTAAATCGTTTTATGCTATATCGATTGGTACCAAAAAAGTACAAAGTTTTGGCTGACAGTTTTGAGTCTCCCTTGTGAGTGGGTTTACGTTCGAACTAGTTGGTCCAGACAATAGTCCAATTTTCCTATTCATTAATTTTTACTTATTGTGGATTCATATTTAATCACTATTCAAAGGATTGTTCGCTTCACAATTACTGAACCAACAGAATTATGTGTTATCTTACATCAAAGAAATGCCCGGACAGTTATAGATCAAGTAGATATTTTGGTTACAATACACAAACAAGAAATGAATAAAGATGGTTTTCCTGGTTTCTAGACTTTAATTTCTCCTTTTTATTACTTTTTATGTTAGGAGAATTAATTTGTCGTTCACCAAGAAAAATTGGACCAATTGTCCGGACAGAAGATTATTTTTTTCAGCCAGGAGAATATTTAATTTTTGCTCATTCTTTTTCAAATTTTGGTGAAATGATTCCTGGCACAGTTGTTATTCATAGGTTTTCAATAAATGTTAGTTTAATGCAAATTTTAATATAGTTCGAAGAAAATCTACTCCGAATCTCTTACTTCTTCATTGGAAGTTTTACGTTCTTCAATTTGTTTTTTGATGCTTAAAGAAGGTTCCATAAATGGTGTAAGTATAGTTACAAAATATTTTTAAATATTAATTTTTTACAATTAATACAAACTTTTCGTGTAGGTGTTCCCTTATAAATTAGTTCTATAAACTGTATAAAAATCTAAAAAATTTAGGATTCCAATGGAATGATTGCTCGTTATTTAACTAGTAATTTTGCTGGATTGGCATTAATGGTTGATAATACAAATCCAAATACGTGTGTACAGGTTGGGGAATTCTATATAAAAACTAACTTAATTTTTAAAACCCTAATGTTCTTATGAAAATATAGGTACTATCTGATTATATACCCGCGTTTTCCTTTCACTTTTCTCATTCTTCTTTTACTTTTTTTCCATAAAAGTTAAAAAAATAAAATTATGTTTATGATTTTTCGACTCTCCTAGTTTAGTACAAAAAGATTTTAAAATAATATTTAAAAAAAACAATCAAGTATTATTTTTAATACCTATTCTTTCCTTATTAATTAATATTTTTCGATAAGATTTTACTTATTTATTCTCTTCTTTATAAATTCCTGCACGTTTATTACAATTTACATCACTTTTAGCTCTTAAACGAAAAATTTTTGAAAAAGGAGAGGAAAATAAGGGTGTTGCAGAACTTGAAGGTTGCTCTTCTCCTTTTTTGTCCAAAATTTCTATAAATTTATTTTTATTAGAAAAAATTTCAAAAATTATCTCCTTACCTGTTTTTCTCCTTTCTTTTCTTTCATTATTTAATTTATCTGTCTCAATTACATCATCAAAACTTTTACAATTTCTAATTGCTTTAGGGACGGCCAATTTCTTTAAAAAATTTGTTTTTAAATATTTTTAACTTTGGTTTAGCAGCTTTCTATGAGAATGTCCCAGACTCCGTGGTTTTATGTTCTGAACATCAAAAAGTTTTTGGAACCCAAATCAAACGTTATTTTGTACTGTCCCCCCTTGTATCAATTTCCCTAAATTTTTTTCTAAACCTGTTTTTGTTGTTTGTCTGTAGATAGAATTGAACGTAATTTTGCACCAAAATTAATAAGCATTTTCCCGTCTGGTGTTAACATATCTGCATTTAGTGGGCGGCATGGACTTATGAAAGTTTTTGAACGTTCTCTTCCTTCCATTATTTCTCTATTTTAAGTAAAAATATTTTAAAAAGAATTTTTAAATAAATTTAATTTATTACAATTGTTCATTTGTCACATTTGCAGACATTCTTCGTTGTATTTCTTCACTTTCTTGTTTATTATTAGAATTATTGTTGTTAAGCATTTCAAAGTTTTGAATATTTAAATTTCATTTTTTGTTTAAACAAAATAATTATTTTAGCTAAATATAGTCTCTGTTATTGATTCTTATAAAAAAATTTTTTTTGCTTTTATCTAACAAGCAACAAAGAATTAACCTGTCGGCACATAAGGGAATTGACAACTAAACAATAAATATTAAAGGCTGTAACTAATTTATTTTTCTTTTTTTTCTTTTTAATTGTTTTAGTTTTTAACGTTTACTTGCGTCATTGCGCGCTACAATAAGAAAATATTTAAATAATTGTTAGGGGATTAATGGATGTTTTTCTAATTATGGGAAGTGAGTGAAGCGTGTTGTTTAAATTGTTAGTTTAAAAGAAAATTTATGGGTGATTTACAGTAAAGACTCTTCTTATCTCTCGAGGGAATTTTCTTTTTGGGGATTTCTGTAAAATATCGCGAATTAAGTCTGTTGCATTCTTTAGTCTTTTTTTCCGGCAAATCTGTTATCTAATTTTATTTATCTGTTCTTTTATTTATCTGTTATCTTTTAAAATTGAAATTTGGGAATGGTAGATATATTTGGAGGATATTACACATACCCTTGGGAGATATTTTGTGAAATTTTAAGAATTGTTTTTTTGTTTCTTGGGAATATTAAGGAAAAGTAAACTTACAAATATTTTTCAAGTCAGATCTTAATATAGTTTTCTTAAATAATTGTATTCTCGTCTTTCTCTTAACCAACTAATTTTTTAAAAAAAAAATTCATAATAAGTTTTGACTGTCCTTAAAAAAATTTTTTAAGGTTCGTTCTGACTTTAACAACTCAACAAATGTTTTGTCTACAAGAGGGTCGTTATTTGCTGTTGATTCTTTACCTCCTTTACATCGTCAAGTATTTTTAAATGTTTAATGAAAATAAATTCATAGTTTATTAACAATGATTAAATTACATAATTGCGTGTCATTTGACTATTATTTTTGTGATAAAATTTAATAAATGAATGAGTTAAAAATCTGAGAATTTAACTTAATTTTTCTTAATTTTTTTAAACTTTTCTCCCTCTTTTTCAGATAATAATTGTTTTAACTCATGCCGAAGCATCTCAACCTTTATCTGTTGCCCACAGTCTTTGTTCTCGTTCTACTTCATTCCCTCAATTAAAGGATTGGTCTCCCTCAACGAATTTTTTTTATTCTCAAAATCTTCCTCTTTTGATTGGTGAATCTATTGGGATTTTACATGGACCGATGCCTTTATTTGATTAATTTGGTAATCCTGCAGAATCTGGGAGACACCTTAAAAACACCTTAAAAATTATTATTTTTTTCTGAAAAAATTTTGCTTAGGTAATCGACCATGCTGATCACGAATCTGAGCTTAGAATTTGTTTATTTCGAATCCCGGACTCGATTTCGACCAAGTCGAAATTCGGAGTAAAAATTCGATATTAAGAATTTAGGGCTAATCTGATTCGCGTTTTCGAGCTGAGTCGAATGCCACCGAAATTACCGCGATCCGACTCCATAGGGTCGAGTTACAGACCCCCGAAATTTGAAAATTTTTGGGGTCAAAAAATCGAAAATCCAAATAATAGCTCATTCGAGAGAACTCGACGAGCTGAGTTGAATGACACCAGAATCAACTCGATTGAATGATTCTGAACAAAGTTATGACCAACGGAATCTTCGGTGGAAAACCTGTGGGAATATACTAAAGTGCCTCCAAATCAAGTATATGATAAATATCATAGATAAAATGTCACATTTGACAGAATCTGATATCAGATTCGTAATCAGCATGGTCGATTACCTACAAAAAATTATTTTCAGAAGAAAATAATAATTTTTAAGGTGTTTTTAAGGTGTCTCCCAGATTCTGCAGGATTACCATTAATTTTAAATATGAGAAAAGAATTAAATTTAAAAAAAGAATATTTTACTTTTACATGCTTGCCTTTTACTAAATACAGTCGGGCCTCATAAATAATCTAAATTTATGATACGTTTTTAAAAAGTTGGTTGGCCACTACTGGGAGAGGCGATTGTGGGTATTTTACATTGAGCCTGTGTGTATTTACATTTTAATATTTAAAAACCTTTCTTGTGCAAATTTTCATTTGACTATATTTTGACAATTGTTTTAATTTTTAAATTTTTGATTAAACGTTCCCCAACTATTGACCTTTACAAATATAATTATTATATTGCCTAAATATAAATTATAATTTTTTTGTTTAAATTTAAAAAGTTTAAACTAATTTAAGAATTTTAGTTTTAAAAAAAATATTTGAAAATTATTTTGGATTTGCATAAATTTATATATTCTTTCTAGTTTAAACTTTTAATCATTTTCTTTCAAAAATTTTATTTTACAAGACATATCAATTAAATAAAAGCATTTATCACAACTATTTTTATTTTTTAAAGTTTATGGTAATCAGAGGTGGGTCGGAATTCCGATTTCCGATTTCCGACGTTTTTTTCCTTCCGATTTCCGATTTCCGAAAAAAAATTTTGATTTCCGATTTCCGACACCTCTGACTGTTCCGACCCACCTCTGATGGTAATTACAAAAATAGTATTTTTTGTCACATCTTTTTTCATTTTTCGTCTTCCTTGTGGCACTGCTTATCTAGGACAAACAGGCCTAAGCTACATCCAATTTTGTATGCACCTCAATATACACAATTTTTTCAATCCTAAGGTTATTTCTTGTAGCAAAATTGGACTTTAAAATTCCTCAAGTTTATTTGATAATTACATACATTTTACATGTGATTGTCACGTTTTTTAAGCAAAAAATTTCAGACTCTAAATAACAAAAGAAATTATTTTTTGATTCTTCTTCCTTTAACAATTATCCACGTTTTCACACGTTTTAGGCCTCCATTTCCCTCATTTTTCACAAAAATTCGCAAAGACTAAAAAATCTTTTATAAAATATTTAAATTTTTAAAGGGTTTTTAAATGTTAATCCACAGCAATATATTAAAAAAATTCAAGTGTTTTTTGACAATTTCTTTAATTTATTTAATTATTATTTTATTAAATAATTTAACTTCTTCTAATTCAATTAATTTTTCTTCTTCTAAAGGTTTGTTTTAAATTATTTGAATAATTTTAATTTTATGGGGAAACTCTTAAAAATTTCTTTTTTTTGGCTTTAAAAAGGATTAAACTTTTTGGTTGCCTGAAATTTACGAATAAAATTAAATTTTATTGGAATAGGAAGTCATTTGGTTTTGTCTAGTACCGGGCCATAAAATTTCGAAAGAATTTCAGGGGTAAATGATTGGAATTCCCTATCTTAGTCAAATTTCAACAAATTTTATTTTTAAACAATTTTGAGGGTCTAAAATGTATGGGAAATTTGCAAAAGAGAATCCTTATTTGGAAAATTATTTAAAAAAAATAAATTTCAAAAAAATATTTTTAAAGGTATGGATATTAAAGAAAATTTAAATTATGGAATAATTATCGATGCTGGTTCAACAGGTTCAAGGCTTTTTCTTTATGAATGGATTTCGAAATCTGATAAACAATTAATTGATATTAAAATTGTTAATGATTTGGAAGGAAAACCTGTTGTGAAGAAAGTAACGCCCGGATTGAGTTCTTTTGCTGAAAAGCCTGGTTTGTTTTTAATTTTTTGGAAAATAAAAGAAAATTTATAGGGAGAATTTCTAGCAAAACTAGTTATTTTAGGAAATATTTTTAATTTCTGTCCTCTGTATTTAAATAATTTTTGGATAGCCATAGGTAGTTTTTAAAAATTTTATAAAACAAATATTCTAAAGATAATAGAAAAGAACGGAGCAAACGGGGCCCTGAACGCTAAAAATGTTGCAGAACGTATTAAAATTAATTTTTCATTAGTTAGGAAATTTTAATGAAATTTCCGTGAGACGAAAAGAAGGGGGGAGGCAATACATTTAATTAATTAAATTATTTTAAATAGATGCTGCCCCAGATTATTTATTGCCATTACTTCAATATGCTTCTGAACGTATTCCAACTAATAAACGTCCAAAAACTCCTCTTTTTATTTTTGCGACTGCTGGAATGAGGCTGTTGCCTTTAGAGTTTTTTTTGGATTTTTTAAATTTAAAAATCTTTTATTTTTTAGAAAACAAAATTTAATTATTTCAAGTTTGAGGAAAAAACTTCCAAAAATTATTGAATTAAAAATTAATCCAGAAAATATTAAAGTTATTACTGGAAAATGGGGTGGGTAATTTATTTTTTATTTTTAAACCTCAAGGGTGTGGAAGCCTAAAAATTCAGTTATTAAAATTAAAATTTGAATTTCGGACTTTGAGAAAATAATTTTTAAAAAAATTATTTTTATTTTTTAGAAGGTATATATAGTTGGATTGCTGTAAATTATATGCTTGGACGGTTTAATACAACAACAAATTCTTTATCAATGAATACACAAATTGGAAATAATAATGAAAATAATTTTAAAATATTAGAAAGGCAAAAAACTGCAGGTTAATCGAATAATTTTTTTAAGGATTTTGGGGAAAAGGAATGTTGAGGATTGGGTAAAAATCGGATTGGGGTTTTTAAATTTTCTTTGAATTGGGTTTTAGCTCAGGTCCGTAGCCAGGGTGTTGGGTGCAGAAAAATTTTCCTTCCTTGCCCCCCCCCCCCCCCCCCCCCCGAAAAAATCCTGGCTACGGGCCTGTTTCAGATCGAAAAAATGTTCATGTTTCAGATAGCTTGTTGACATCCCTGTTTTCGTAACTTAATTAAAAATTAATTTTCGAATTTAAAGGAATGATTGATATGGGAGGAGCATCAACACAAATAGCTTTTGAACTCCCTTTAAATTTAAATGAACAACAATCAAAGGAGGAAGACGAAA